TAATGTTTTTAATGTTTATAAAAATAAATAATTATGTAAACATAAAACTAAAGATTAATAAAATACTTACTCGATAGAACTAATATGTATCATATGTCAAGTTAAGAAAATCTTTCCAATCTTTGCCTTCTTTATTTTTTTTCTATCATCTCCATTCCTCTTTGGTAATTGGGTTTTGAGCAGACCCACATAGGAACTAAATTATTTAAAATTAGTATTATTATATAAATTATATTTAATATAATAATAAATACTTGCTGATGTATTATCAATTTCAATAATAGTGTTAGATGGTACTGGCAAAGTAGTTTCGGGTATAAACAAACTTTGTTGCTGACTTTGTGTAATAGTTGCAAGCATTTGTTGTAAAGTACTTGGATTTGTTAATAATTGGAGTAATAAAGCAGCATTATTTATCCATTTCTAGTAATTTTTAAAAAGTTTGAAAGAAACAACAATAAAAAAAAAACAAACCTAATTAAATATTAGATCAATTATTTAATCATTTATTATCATAAAGTTTAAGAGTCTAATTGATATATAAATTAATTAATTAATTAATTAATTAATTAATTAATATTAATAATATATATTTGATAATCTAAAAAAATCACCTGATTGATCAAATTTAAGAACTAATTACGGATTTGTAAATTGTTATATATGAAATGTAGTAGTAGTATCATTGTTGTAGCATAGTTTAGTATCATAGAAGGTTATATATACTTGAAAATAAAGAATTAGTTTTTATAATACATAATATATTGATAAAATTAAAATAAAATAAATACTGTGGTAGTAATATTATGAATTTCAGAGAGCTGCCTTGATGAATTCTTTAAAACTGAGATTAGAATTACAGAATTATATTAAATAATTAATATAATTGGTAATATAATTGGTTTGATTAAGTTTAGCTATCTACAAACTCATATTTTTGCTATTAAAAAAAAATTCAAATTAAAAGAAAGAAATTAAGAAGCCATAATGTTAATGATAAGAGCATAAAAGTATTTATATATATTAATATACATACGTATATATATATATCAATATGTAAATAATTTAATATCCATATAGAAATTGACTTAAAAATACTGCGGCTCAGTATAATTTACATATATACATATATTGTAAGGAAAAAAATAAATTATTGAAATAGCTTGGATCATTTGCCCAAATAGGTAGATCTAAATATATCATATGTTTCAATATAGAAAAAGATAAATATAGTGTAAATACATTAGCAAAATTAGATATTAATGAAAATTTGTATAAAGTCTTAAAATTTTATCTTAAATAAAGACAAGTATATAATAAAGGCTTCTTGCTCTTGAGGAAAGCATCCTTTGTGATTCAAATAAATTCTTCCTTTATTAATTACATACTCTGTCCAGCAAATTCTCAACATATTAAAAACTATTATAGTTGTTGTTTTTTAATTTTTTTGATATTCTAAAAATAGTTTTGATAATTGTTTTGTCTAGTTTGAAGCCCAAGTTTTCTAATACAAGTAAAAGAAAATTATAATTACTCTTATCAAATATAACTGCTTCTTTTGTTCAAACTAGTTGTAGATTATATAACATTATAGTTTGTAGAACAATTGACTCGCTAGCATAATAGCACTGGAACCAGTTTTCATTATTATAACATATGAATATACCTAATATTTTTAATATATTGTATATAAATATAAATCAATAAAATATAGAAACAGAAAATGTAATGTAAAAAAAAAAAAAATAAGTGCTAAAAAAAAAAAAAGAAATATTAGCTTTGGTGAACTACGAATTCGTAATTCGCCAAATATAAATCTCTAAATAAAGAGAAGTAAGGATTAAATATATAAAATTTGGAGAATCTAAGTTCAAATTAGAAAAAAAAATATAGTGCTTCAATGTAAATATAAGATAAAGAAAGGAACTTTGAATTTAAAAATAGAGAGTGATATTAAAATCAGTGCTAAATTTCTTTTATATAAAATTTACTGATTAATTATATGATTGTATTTAATATGTCACATGTATATTAAAAAAAATTGCTTGATCATTGATGGTTAAAAAAGTACAGTAATAATTAATAAATAGTAATAGAGATAATATAAATTGTATGGTTAATCTATATTTTGAAACAACTTGATAGAATCTAGTCCATATATATAAATAATCGATTTGTAAAGTTAAATATATGCATGTACATATAACAGTTATCTCTTATATATATTTATATACTTTTTTTTTTAAAAAAAAATTATTTGAGTTGATTAATTTCAAAAATGAGAATTGTGCTTATATAAATTAAAGGCTAAGTCAGTAATTTATAAGGCTAAGTTGGTAATTAATAAATGAAGTATTTAATCGACAGATAGAGTATCGATTGATCGATCAATAGGTGGATTATCGATCGATAAATAGAGTTCCACAGTATAAAAATATTAAAAATAGGTTGTAATCAAAAAGAAACTAATTTTTAAAGAACATAACAAAAAGAGTAGGTGGTTACGACTCCTATGTGCGAGGTGAGGCACATTAGAATAATTTTTTGAGATTTTTAATTTGATGAAATAGATAAGAGTGCACTTTAATGTGATTTTATAGACTTTCATGTCTGCGAAATTATTCTTGAAGTGAAGAGTATCATATATGGAAGATAGTGAGAAAGAGAGAGATTGTAAAAAAATATGGTCTATTTAAATTCGTAAAGATCTTTGTTGTATACTTGCATAATGTTTCAAGCAGAGCAATTAGGCAGACATTGCTTAATTAAAAATTCTAATTACTGTCCTTTGGAATTGGATAAATCTGAGCAATTTTCCATTTAAGTAGAATTTCTCCTTTTTGTATGCAATACATTGTGAACTTTCTAAAAATCGCTTGTGCCTCTTGGTCTGCTGCTTTGATTAATAGATAACCGATACCCAATATGCCTAGCGCAGTATTTACACTAAGTTCACTAAGCATTGTGTTTCACTCTTTTTTCTCAATGTCTTTAAGCAAACTGGAGTATAAGGAGCAATGAATTTCTTCTTTTAGTTTGTAGATTTTTGTCTATTCATAATTAAGAAGATCTTTCTCAACTCTTCTTTTGCAGAACTGTTGTTGAAAGTGTTCTTAAGTTTTTTCCAAAACTATATCTGGTTCTGTAATTAGTATTTATGAATTATTTTGCTGAATCATTACACAGTCTAGTGTGATTTTTTTAAAGGGTTTGTCAAGAAGGCTTCTTAGCATTCTTTCCTGATTGTTTTGTATCATTAAACATCCTTTTCTAGTAAATTTTTCAATTTCCTTTTGTTTTTGGGTTTCCAGTTCATCAGAGAGTTTATTGTATAGTATGTGCCACCAGCCTTTAGAGTCCTCTACCCAGTCTTGTATCCATTCTTGGCTTAATTTTGGTATATCGGTTTGGAGATTCTTGTTAAGTAGCCCTATAGTTCTGTTTATTTGGTTTTTTGATTGAGGATCGATATATGCTCTCAAGTTCTTTTTCCTCTTTGCAATTAGCTTACTTAGGCTTGTAGTGGCTAAGTGTAAGTAAGATCTTTTTCCTTTTCTTCTTGTATTTGAGACCATGTTAGGAATTTTTTTTTTTGCTTGGAATATTAAGATTTGCTGCTTCAATTATACTACTTGCTATTTTATCCCATATTTTATCAAGGTTCACTACTTGGTTTTTTGATATATTGAATAGCGATCAGTAATACCTTTGTTCTTAAGAAGTTTATTTAAACTTTCTTTGTAGTCCTCCCAGTTTTCTTTAGTTGCTTTATCATATTGGAATATTATTCTTACATATCCTCTAAGTCTGGCTTGTGCAGCACTATATTGGTTTCTAAGGTATTGGAATTGCAGCTTAATCAGAGCTAAACTATGATCACTTTTTGTATACCACTTTATGTCATGTATGTTTGCTTGGAGCAATCCTGCTATTAAATCCTCTGAAATCCAGATCTGATCTATTCATGTTGCTGAGTTGTTGTTTGACTATGTGAACTCTCTTTTGTCTAAGTTTAGAAATCTGAAAGAGTCTATGAAGTTTTGGTTTAGAAGCTATTGATAAAGTGGGAAAACTTTTTGGTTACATGCTGGGTTAGGATTACTTTTATTGAGAGCCTGGTCTATAATATTGTTAAAGTCACCTATTACTATATATTGAGCTGTTGGTGGTCTGCTCATATAGCGCTTAATTACTTTCTGTTGTATTGCTCTAGCTTCTTTTTGGTTATTTGGAGGGATATATATTACTAAGCAAATTAAGATGAGCTGTTTGAAGAAAAAGCTAACTTCTAATAAATACTCATTTATATATTGAATATTGCCTATAAATTTTTTCTAATCTCTTCTAACTAAGAGACCTATACCTGAACCTTTCTTTTTAGATATACTAGCATTTGACCATATAGTATTGTAATTACTGCTGCTGTCTAATATAAATTTGCACTTCTTTGCTGAAATATTTGTCTCTGTCAAACTACAAATTATAATGTCTTCTTCCTTCAACCAGCTAACTAGTAAATCTATTTTTTGTTTATTGTTTTTAATACCATTGATATTGTGCACTGCTACTTTGATTTCTGAACTGATATCTTTTTTAATACTTCTTGCAGATTGCTCTCAATTTATGTTTAATTCTCTAAAATAGTCCTCTGTGCTTTTGCTATCTATACTATCCCATTGGGCCCTATTTTTTCATTTTTCCTATTTTTGTTTGTGTCGCTATCTTCCTGTTTAAATTCCAGATCATATGTAGATCCTGGCAGGCTTTCGGTAACACTGTCTATATTCTTAGAAATGCCTGTAACTACTTTCAGAATAAGTTAGGTCTAGATATCAGAATTGACTCATAGTCCCTTTCAATTTTGGACAGCTTTTTAAGAATCTCTGCCAAGACCTCGTGTTGTGACAAATTTTCTGGCTATGCATTGATTTTTCCTTTGATATCTTTTCTGGTTTTAGTAATATTAACATTTGTTGACAAGGGGGCAATGCTTGTATTACTCATGCCATAGTGTCTTGAGAATCTGCCTTTTCCATTTTGATATTTTCTGTATTGGTTACGAGGAGAGGTTTGCTATTTTCTACCCTGTTGTATAAACTCTTGATTTCATGAGGTTGTGTAGCCAGGTTTGATTTACTGCGGGTAGTAAAGTTATTTTTTTTGTCGTCATTATAGTATCTGTTTGGTCTTTTTGAGGTTCTTGTATACTTTGGCTTTTTGTCTATATTTTTGTTTTTATAAATTTCAGCCTCATTTGCAGCTCTTTTCTTTTTTGTGTTTTGGCTGAAATCAGTTTCAAAATAGGGCTGACTGATTGGTGTGATACTATTTTCAGTAGCATTTGTATCTAATTGCCATTCTAGTCTGGTATTATAGTAGAATAGGCTACTCTTTTGCGCTTGAGTAGGATCCTCTTTTGATTTAAAGTAAATATAAGCTCTTCTGCTTTGGTTACCATTACAATTGTTCAAAATATGTACTGTCTGAATATTATAACTTTTTAGTTGTCGCAGAAGTAGATTATCAAGTGCCGATTTGGGTAAATTATAAATTGTGCTTTTGAACTTATTCCTTTCTTCTAGTATGAAGCTATTAAATTTTCCTGGTATTGTTCTATAAGTTTTGCCTTGCTCTAGGTGGATTAACCAATTTCCTTTCAGTGAGCTTTCTCTTTTATCTGTGTTTGATGAAATTTTTATATAGGCTGCCTTGGTTTTGAAGTTTTGTTACCATGCTAGTATAGTTGCTATACCAAAATAACTTAAATAACCTTTGATTTTACCTGGGTTTATCTCTTTGGAGAGGTCCCACAGTGTAAAGAAATATTGTGATGTATTTTTTTGTATTGTGAAACTGCCTTTTGGAGCCCAAATTGAGTTGTATATATCTTTATACTGCTTATGTTTTTTGCTATTTCTTTTTAAAGCAGCTTCTTTGCCAACAGGAGTAGTTTTTTGTATTTGTTCTACAATACCATAATCAAGCACACCACATTCATTTTCCAGTAGGGATAGTTTAGTTAATTCTTGTTTATCTTCTGAAGAGTAGATATTATTTTCTTTTTCTTTTTCTATTAAGCTTCTCTTTCGTGGTGTTTCTGTTAACTTCTTTGTTATAGTGGTATTCATATTGCTTAAGGATTTTTCTTCTTGTGCTGGGGTAGTTTTCATTGGAACTGGTTCAGAGTTGTTAATAGTGGTGTTACAATCATAGAGAATGTTCTCTGTAGATGTTGAGCTAACTTCCATAGGGCATGGCTCAGATTTAACATTTGATTGAGAAAGTTATACCTCTGGTAGTAGATGGTTTGAATTGCTTTTACTAAGGTTCTTCTGTGGTTCAGTAAAGGAAGAATTGTTGTCTATTAAAATTTTCTCCTCTTCAGTTAGTTCAAGTTTTCTTATCTTTTTATGTTTGGCTCACTCATATATATGTAGTATGCTATGGATTGTGGTGATAAGTTAAATATTATCTGTTCTTAAGTACATCGCTACTCTTCTGTCTTTTTTAAGAATAGTAGGAAGTTGATTGTTGTAAAGTGTGAGTTTTTTCTCTTTACACTTTTTAAAAAAGTCTTTAAACTCTTCTAAAGCTGGCATTTGGGTATTTGCTTGGTCTTAGTTTGTTTGTTTCGTTTGTTGTTGCTTACACAATATGTGTTTGTTTATAGTGAGCATGACTAATAATTGTTTTGTTTATTGTTTACTTTCTGCTTTAAGAAGACATGTAGGTGTTTGTTTGTTTGTTTACTTGTTTATTTTTATGTATGTAAACAGATCGACACTACAGAATAAAGTAGGATTCCTCAAAAATTTCAAAAATTTTGAAGAAAAATTAAATTTTGTTGTTGAGAGCCCTACAAGCTTGTGCACAAAAGTTCTTGTTCTAGTGAACTGTTGTTTATTTTGGCTGCTTGTTCCTTTTCCTTAGTAGTGTTTGTATTGTACTTTATACTAGTTTTCTTCTATATGCTAATTTCTTTTTTGACCGTTTTGGTGCAGAGGATTAGCAGAAAGAATTTTTTTTTTTTTGTTTTTTACAATTTTTTAGGTATATATTTTTGATTTAATTTATTATTATTATTATTATTATTATTATTTTAATATTAAGGTGACTACTTAGATCTCTGGCATGTAGCTTTATTTGGATAATTACGATATTACATCAATTTCATGAGGATACAACTAGCCACATGTGTACTTTTGGTACCTAATTTAAGTAGT